AAATTGAAGTAATGTCTTAACCAGAGGAAAATTGACTTAAACTCTGAGTATAATTCATCATTCTTTGGTCTAGTTAGTCTCACCATAGTTGAATTCATTCTACAGAAATGTAGGTTGTTCTTTAAAATAATATTTATTGTTTGACTAAGTATGAGCATAGGCAAGCTATGAGAAGATATAAAAATATTAAATGTTTCATATTACTGAATATTTATTTTAGTTCCAGTGCCAGTTTATGTTATTGTGAGGTTTAAGTCATAGAATCTGAAGAAAACCATCTAAATTCTGAAGAAGTTCATTCAAAGTTGTTGTTAGCACCAATTGCAGCTCAATATGTCTACATCTGGGAAAGTCGGCATCATAAATTTAAATAAGAAAAATAAATTTTTAGAAATCTGAGAACTAGATTTAGGGAAATGTTGTCTTTTTATTTTTCCTTGATTATATATTTTTTAGAGGTTTTTGCTATAGGGCATGTGCACTCACCAGAAAGACAGACAGACAGAGAGACAGAAAGCAGAAAGTGAGAAATCACCCCCCGCCCCCCAAGAGGGAAATGGCCACACCACAATCCCTTCTCTTTCATTCTCCTCTCAGGATTTTGGGCACGCACACACATGCACCCAGCGTGAGTTCATGCCAATGGGTCAGGGACTTGAACAGCAATCAACCACATGGGAGTCCAGCAACATAGCCATTACGCCAACTGCTGTTCCGGAAAGTTGCCTGTTTTTAATCCAGGGTTTTTGTATGTTTGTGTGTGTGTGTGTGTTTTTTGTTTGTTTTTGTTTTTTTTTTTTTTTTTTTTTTGGTACAGAAATTGTGTGCACCTTGGAGAGAGAGAGAGAGACAGGGGTCAGGGGAGTGTGAAAGCATCTCCTGGGAGGGTGACCACAATCCCTTCTCCTCTATTCTCCTCTTGGGGTTTTGAACACACGTGCATATTCACCTGATATGTTTTTCAGGCTACTGGGTCCAGGACTGGAACTGTGCAGTTGGTCATGTGCGATCCAGTTGCTTTGCCACCATGACACCAGCTGGCCCTAATCCAGGCATATTTGCCCTGTAAAGTGGTCAAATAATCGAAGAAATCCAGAATTTATATGCTCACTGCTTTGAGGGTCTCAAAAAGGCTCTTCTCTGTTATAAAACAACGTAAAAAGTCCCTGTTAGAGAGGAACATTCAAATTAAAAAGAAAAGGAGATGACAAGACCAAAGTACTTTTGAAAGCAATGGAAAACACCACTAACCTGTACTCCACAAAATATTATTTTTAATGAAATAATTTTGCAGTAAAAATTTAAAAAGTGTATTTTGTTACTAGACTGATTTTATATATAAATCACCATTGCCTTCTCTTTAAGTAATCTATTTTTCATTTGGATAAATATATTAATCATTTGGAATTATAATATAGAAAGTAAATCCTTTTGTTATTTAAAATTGGAGATGGGAGACCAGCAGGTGGCATGATGGTTATGGTGCTGGACACTCCCACATGGCCAACAAGGGTTGAAGTCCTGAATCTGGTGGCTTGCTTTCTCACTTCCTTTCTCTCTCACTCTCAACCTCTGTCTCTCTCTGGTCAAATTAAATAAATAAATAAATAAATAAATAAGTAGATTAAAATAAATAATTATAAAAAGTAAATAAATAAAATAAAATTGGAGTTAGATAAATTGGCAAATAGAAGAGAAGACTTTATTGGTGTTAAAAGTGCCTTTACATTTAATACTAATGTAAATCAGAGAACACACCGCTATTCTTATTTATTCCTGTACTATACATAATTATTGACTTTAATAAGTTAGCACACTTGGTAACATTGATTTTTATTTTTTAGAAAGGTTATTGCTATAGGGTATGTGTGCTTGTCAGAAAGACAGACAGAGAGACAGAAAGCAAAACACCTCCCCCCAGGGGGGATGGCCACACTGCAATCCCTTCTCCTCCATTCTCCTCTTGGGATTTGGGCATGCATGCACATGCACCAGGCGTGAGTTTAAGCCACTGGGTCTAGGACTTGAACTATGGTCAACTATATGGGAGTCCAGTGATGTAGCCATTACGTCTAGCCATCTGCTGGTCCCTGTAACATAGATTTTAAAAATATTGTTTTTAGTGTGCTCTGTCTGCATCCTAATTTGCTGTATCTGATCATGCAGATTAGACATCCAAATATTTAACCTCAATTTATACAGCAAGTCTTCTTTACTTGAGTGTTACTATGTAAACCATTGTTCTTAGCTCTTCACACATATTAAATGATTTCACCATTTTAATAACTCTTAGAAGATATATTATTAATCCTGTCTTCCATGAAACTGAGGCCCAGGGAGCTTAAACTCTTTGACCTAGTTCATATACCTAACCAATACATACTGCAGTGATGCTCAGGTTCTTGCTAGTCACTGAACGGCTCCAAAATCTGTACCTACATAGATATTTTCCTAATTACTTCTTCCACTTGATGTGTAGAAGCCCTTACACAGTTTGGACATGTTTACAGTAAAAATCCATTCTAGAGTCCCATAAATGATCCTTATGTTGTACTATCTCTCTATTTTATAATTTTTAGATTTAAACTAAGCTAGCTTTCTCATATTTGTTTATTTTTTTTTGAGGGGGCTCCCTGCTTACCTATAGTTTGGCATCTCAGGTACTAGAATAGAATTTTAGGTTTTAGAATTGGGAAAAAGTAGGCAAGATATCCATTTATCAGAAAGATTGACTTAAATGTCCATTCAGCCAATGTGTGAACATATCCTATGAGAGAATTCCTGTCAGTGGAGGCAGTCAGTCTTATGTTGACTGCACAGCATGGATCCTTTGCAATCATTTAGATATTAGTGAAAGAAAGGCCACTTAAATTTGGATATCACACAATGTGTTTTCTGTCTTTTTCTCTGGAAATGAATAGTTCATATTTCAGCTGTAACACATCAGTGTGAGCTTCCTTCCTTTCTTTTTTTTTTTGTGGAGGACAAACAAAAGTGTGGCCAGCCTAGTTTTGTACTATTTCTCATGAGGAAATCAGAAATGCATTTTTCAATAATTTATTAGTAATTCTTATAACTTTGTCTAAAGAATAGGTAAATACATAGATCGGTAGACATTTACTTTAGTATTTATTGACCTGATAATACGAAAAATACTTAAAAAACAACATGTGAGTTTTGAAGGATGAAGTACTAATTCTTTAAGGAGATTTCAAAAAGCCCATGGACTAATGGAGTTTTAGTACTATCTTTGGCCCCAAATGGTTTTGAAATCCACCAGTAGTTCTATCACAATATACATGTTCCATGAGCTGTTTAAGTCCTTTGTATATTTAAATGGAGATGTTAATTCTGGTAGATAAGTCATGAATGATTGTACTACTTGACAGTGTGAGGCAAGTTTTATGAGCAGTTCAAGCATAATATAACAAGGAGCTCTGTAAGAATTTCTTGGAGGTTGCATTTGAACTGACTTGAAAGAGTGGAAACTGTTGTCAACGTGTCAGGGACAATGGTAGCCAAGGCCTTAGAACAGATGAGTACAGATCATATTTTCCTATATGATAGAGGATGTGAGAAGAATGGGGCCTAAACTCAAATGGTGGTGACCTGACCTCTAATGTAAGTTAGAGTTTAAATTTTTACTTCTGTTGAAATAATTTTATTATTTGTTTTAGAGGTTTTTGCCTTAGGGTGTGTGCACTCACGGGGCGGGGGGGGGGGACAGGGGAGAAAGAGAGAGAGACAGACAGTGAGAGGTAAAGTGAGAAATCACCTCCCCAGGGGCGATGGCCATGTCCTAATCCCTTCTCCTACACTCTCCTCATCTTGATCATGCAAGCACATGCACCCAGCATGATTTTCAACCCACTGAGTCCAGGACTCAAATAGTGATGGGCCCTGCGGGAGTCCAACCACGTGACTAATATGCCATCTGATGGCTGCTCATTTTTATCATTTTTGATAACAAGATGGGGAAGGCAGTAGGAGGAATATATAAAACAGAGGAAGGGTCTACATTTCAACTTTCTTTTTTTTTGAATTGCATATTCAGCATTCTGAGATACTGACGAAAGCCTTCTACTAAGTATGCGCTTGGAAAGTCTGAAGCACTGACCCAGGACACAGTTTTAGAGAATCTTCAATATTTCTATCACATAAAGAGAGAGTGTGTGTGTGTGTGTGTGTGTGTGTACAATTTTGAGAAAAAAGGAAATTTAAAGAATTTATATGGAAAGAACACCACTATCCAACAATTATCCTTCTTATGCAAAAGTGCACCTAAAATTTAAGGTATTTTTTTATCCAAAAATATCTTTGTCACCTAAAGTATAGGTCTAAAATTCACTTTTTGCCTATTCACAGCAAGAACAACTTGGAGATAAAAAACTAACTGAGAATTTGAAGTATGATGGAATAATTCATTTAATTCATGATTTCATAAAAGCCTCAACTCATCTCTATACGTGTGATCTGCGAAACGCTTCAAAGGATATAGATGGTGAAGTTAGTATTTAGTGGTCAAAAAAACATATTAAACTATTTCAAAAAAAAAGAGGTTTCAAATAGCATAAGCAGTTAAATTGAACATTTTGCCCACACTCCCTCTGCCTTGTTGACTTCTGTACTTACCCTTCTCACTAATGGCTTGGAGCAAATAAAACCACTTAAAGCAAGTGTTTGTTAAAGATATTTGTATGCAATATTGACAATTCTAATCCATCACTAGATGCAAATAGATTCTTCTGCCAGACCGTTTTGTGTAGACAATTTATTTCTTTTTAAGAGTGCATGATCTCAAGTATGAAAATAGAAAACCAATGAGTTTAAGTTCCACTTGAATGATATGTAAAAATTCGGGTCTCTATATATTTCCTAGTAATGTGAATAAGCACTGATTGATAACTGAGGCAAGCATAGCCACATTATCATTTACCAGTGTTCTCTCCTCACGTAGGACCTCCCATTAACACGCAGTGTCTTGCTTTGTTTCCTTGCAGAAATGTTGGAGTCCAACAACTTGGTCACTTTCAGTGGCTTGGCCAACAGCTCCAGTTACCACACCTTTCTTTTGGATGAAGAACGGAGTAGGCTCTACGTTGGAGCAAAGGATCACATATTTTCTTTCAACCTGGTCAATATCAAGGATTATCAAAAGGTATCTTTATTCTTTTTTTTTTTTGGAGAGGTTTTCGCTATAGGGCACGTGCGCTCGCCAGACAGACAGAGAGTGACAGAGAGATAGAAAGCGAGAAATCACCCCCCAGGGGGGATGGTCATGCTGTAATCCCTTCTCCTCCATACTCCTCTCGGGATCTTGGGCATGCATGCACACGCTCCTGGCGTGAGTTTTAAGCCACCGGGTCCAGGACGCGAACCGTGGTAGACTACGTGGGAGTCCAGCGACATAGCCAATATGCTAACTGCTGGTTCCCTTTTTGTCTGTTTTCATGCTACAATAGCAAATGAGTAGTTGTGACAGAGGTCATCAGACCCACAAACACTAAAATATTTATAGTTTGGCTTTCTGCAAAACCCTCTTTTGTAGAAAACTAAAAGATCAGTTTTCAAAGCATCTATTTTTGCAAATGTGGTCATTTACACATCATCCAGATACTACTTTGATACTGATTTTTTTATAGTGCCTCCAGCCTACAGTTTAGAAAATAAACATGAATTGACAGTTTAGTGCAAACCGTGATACTACCTGTTGTACTCTAAATCAATAATTTTTTGCAGCTAATATTTTCAATTATAATTCTCTTAGGAACAAAGGTTTTCATGCAATAGCTTCCACAAGCCATAGTATAACATAGTTTTGGGACTACATACACATCAGTAACTGTTTGTTAGTTTGTTTCTTCTTCAAATCTAATGCTTTAAAGTGGTGTGTCTCAACAACTACTCATAACTATAACAGATGGGATGGTAATGTTTTAGAAGTAACAGAATTGTAAAAAGCTTTCGTTCTTGGAGACTGTTGCTTTTGGAATAAAATAAAGGTTTAAATTCAGAATTGATTTAAATCTTTAAAAGACAATAATACTAAACATAAATTTTTTCTTTTCTTCTATTACCTGAACAGTAAAGTTTTGATCATGTGCACAAATAGATTTGATTTGTTATATAGAGCCATCATATAAAATTGCAATACATTTTAATTTTTTGAGAATTATTTTAGTTAAATTTATTTATTTATTTATTTATTGAAGAGGTTTTTGCTATAGGGCATGTGTACTCGCCATCAGACAGAGAGACACAGAGAGACAAAGAGCGAGAAATCACCCCCCAGGAGGGATGGCCATGATGCAATCCCTTCTCCTCTATTCTCCTCTCAGGATCTTGGGCACACACACACATGCACCCGGCGTGAGTTTAAACCACTGGGTTCAGGATATGAACTGCGGTCAACTACATAGAAGTCCTGCGACATAGCCATTACGCTAACTGCTGGTCCCTATTTATTTATTTTAATTTGACCAGCAAGTGATAGGGACTCAAACCATGGTTGGCCTTGTGGGATTCCAGTGCCCTTAACCACCACACCACCTGCTGGCCCCACAATACATTTTATTTTATAATTATGATATGGCACTTTAAAATTACCCTGAGGGAGCTAGACTGGTGGCGTGGAAGTTTAGGCTCTTTAGTCCCACATAACTGACCTCAGTTCGGGACCTAGACCCAGCAGCTTGCTTTCTCACTTCACCTTCCTCTCTCTCTGTCTCTCTCTGGTCAAATTAAAAAATTAATAATAATAAATAAAATTAAATAAGTCATTCTAAAAAAAAGTCTCTAAAGCTTTAAAACAAAATGTACCCTGGGTAATTCTTTTTCTAATTTTTCAATTGATTTCCAAGCCTCCTCAGATGATAGCAATAAATGCTTAAAGTTATTTATTATCTAAGAAAATTGGCTATTCCTTTGTTTCTATGAAATCATAAATATATTTATTTCAGAACTTTAAAAAAAAACAGCAGGTTTTTTTCTACTGTTGTTCTACCAAAAGAAAACTATTCTTTATAAAATGAATGCAAAATATGAGATGATTTAGAAATATTTGATAGTTTAATTAGGAGAATAGATTATTTATTTATATAATATTATGTATATTGTATTATTTATTATAATTTCTTATTTTGTAAATTGATATACATGTATAAAATATATATATGTTATACATATATCATATAGATAGATGCTATATGAGCACAGATTATTAAGACTACATATTTAACATACTTAATTTTTTAAAATAAATATTTAGGTTGTGGTTAATATATTCAATTTTTTCTAACCATGAAAGAACCAAATTGTCATATAAAAACCTATTTTATAGCTGAGAAAAATCCTAGAGTAATAATTGTACATTCTGCATATGTCATAATATCTTCTAATAGCTAGACTTGTAGTAAATATATTTTGAACTAATTAAAAGTGAAGTGACTTGCTCAAAATCATAGTTTCCTTGCTATTGTTCTTGCTCTTAAATTCAAAATCATTATAATAATAATGGAAAATTAATGGAATCCTACTAATAGAGTTCATGGAAAATTAGTATTATGGAAATACTACCAATTAATTTCAACTTTTTTGCACTAAAATAAGTTCATGATTATATTTTCCACAAACTTTTTGAAATCTCCTTATTATTTACTTTTTTTTTTTTTT